CGTCGGAGCAAGCCCACACTAGACAGAGACCGTGGGCATCCAGCGGCGCTGGCCAGTGGCCCTGGAGAGCTGGGGCAGGTGCCCGAGCTTCCTGTCTGACAGTGGAGGGGACAGCGCAGAGCCCTGTGACGGCAGCGCAGAGAGAAAGCGAGAGAGGGAGACGGACAGACAGACGCCTGCAGAGCAGGCCGTGGTCTGAAAGCAGTTGCCTGGGCCCTTGGAGAGAATCTCCGGAAAGGGTTAGCAGGGAGGGAGCCCGGAACTCCGGCAGGACCAGGAACGGCGCCCGAGCCCCAGCTGCTGGGAGAATTGTGTAGAACGCAGGCTGATCTGGTGTCACCCAGTGCAAGGTCCAAAGAAAGATCTGGAATGGTAACAGTGCTCTGAGAAAGTCCAGCGTGTCCTAGGACAAAACTCAGGAGTGTTCACAGGAAAGCAGAAATGTCCATCATGCGTTATCCCAGCGTCAGACTGCAGCCATGCAAAGCAACCGCGCAGAGATGCCGGCTCGCACCAGAACAGGTGCAGCGCCTTTATCCCGGTGTTCAAAAAGCCAGCGCATGAGTTGTCAGCCAGGCCCAGACGTGAAGGCGGCAACATGAGAGCTTCACGGGACGTGGGAAGCCCAGTGGAACACAGCACAGCAACGTGGGGAAGGCGAATCACAGAGCGTGTGGATGTGATGAGCAGTAGTTCTCTGGGAATGCACAAAAGCCATGCAAGCGCAGTTGTCCTGGGAACCTTCCGGAAGACCGGCGCTCCTCAGCCCGCAGCAGCCCGCAGTGAGGCGGCCTCCCTCTCCTGTGGCCCCGCCAGCCTCCAGGGCGCAGCCTCTGAGGTCAGACGGCAGGCGTGGGCCCCTCACTGCTGGAGCCACACTGCGGGCCTCGGGGTCAGCGGGCTTGGCTCCTCCCGGGGGCTGGGAAGGAGAATGCGCTCTCCTGGGTCCTGGTGGCCCTGCAGTGGCCTGTGCCCCTGGGCTGTGGCCACGCCCCCCCAGGGTCTGCTGTCATCCCCCTGCGTCTCCAGGTCACACTCCCGTAAGGGCACCCCCACCTCCGTAGCTCCAGCTCAGACCAGATGGCATCAAGGACGTCTCCCAGGCATGGGAGGGACCCTGGAGGGGAGCCGCAGCCTGCCCCGACCCAGTACGGTCCAGCTTAACTAAGAGCCTACTCCATCTGCAGCCACGCAAAGGGCCAGCCCAGCATGCTCCTCTCCTGTCTTCCAGTGGAAGCTTCCAGTGTGGCATTCTGAGGTGCCAGGGCAGGGCTGAGGTCCCAGGGCAGGGCTGAGGTGCCAGGGCAGGGCTGAGGTCCCAGGGCAGGGCTGAGGTGCCAGGGCAGGGCTGAGGTCCCAGGGCAGGGCTGAGGTGCACAGCCACCAGGTGGGAGGGTCCTGGATCCCTGAACCAATGTGTGCAAGGCAGCCGTCCTCTGGGACTGGACACGGAGCATCTGTGGACAGTGCCCCATGCCTCTTACAGAACTGAGACCCGGCGTGTGGAGGGCCAGACACGTGGCAGGCGCTCGGGCACTGGGTGACCGGGCTGGGGCGGTGGTACAGGGAGAGGGACGGTAACTGTCTGTGTCCCCGAGACTTGGAAGAGCAACGGTGTCACCAGCAGACCCTGACCCCAAGAGGGAGGCATTATCAGCGGCAGCAGAGCCCCTGCAGGGTGCAGCTCTGCTCTCCCCCGACAAAATCCCTCCACTCCCAGGTGGCACAGACGCGATGTCAGTTCCCTGGGCAGTCCCGGGGCCGAGCAGAGAGGACGGTGCCAGGTCTGAGGCTGTGAGCCGGCGGCTGCCACCAGAGCAGGTGCGGAGACCCGGCCTCTGGAACTCGTCTGCTGCTGTTCTCAAGCGAGGTCAGTCCACAGAAGTGGCTTCTGAGCCCGGAACGCCTCTGAAAGGACGTCCAGGTGTGGACCGAGGCACCCGGTGGTCCGGGGACTTCCACTGCCATCGAAGGAAGGACATTCAGCCACACGGAAACTGGCAGAGCAGACGTGTAAGGCCGCTTCCCTGTGCTGTGTGTGAACAGTTGTTCATTTTAGGAGGGAGCCTTAGCAGCCGCCAGCACGGAGCCTGGCCCGGCCCCACGCCCGCTCTTGACCGAGTGTCTTGGGGGCACATGGCGACTTCCTGCACGAATTGCAGCCTTTCTTTGTAAAACCCGGCTGTCTGTGACAGGTGCCTCGTCCCACAAATACGTACGGAGGGGCGGCAGCCTGCCTACTCAGGGGCAAGGAAGCCGCGGTGCAGGCCTGAGTGTCACCCAGGACGCGACCCCGGCCCTGGACAAGTGAGCCAGCGTCAGGGCAGTGACCCCGACGGGGCGGGAGACGGGTGCCAGGAGTCTGCTGTCTTGTCTGTCTGTCCCTTGTCCGGCAGAGTTCAGTGTGTGCTGCTCTAACGTAGCGCTAGAAGCAATGGCGCAGGAAGCCTGGTGGAAGAAACAGGCGACGCTGGGCCGGCACCAGGGAGCTGGGCGGCTGTGCCAGGGCGCCGGGGCAGGTGGCTCCCGACGGCGGCCTCCACGGAGCCCCGGGTGCTGCTCCGACTGCTGCCTGGGAGCACGGGGGACGGGTCGCTTGGCTTCTTCTTAAAAACCTCTTGGACTTGCCAGATTTTTCTCCTTTTTATCTCCTTTTTTTATACGGAGCAAGGTAGAGAGGAATTCCACCTGCTGCTTCACCCCCCAGGTCCACAGTGGCTGGGGCTGGGGCAGAAAGCCATCCAGCCCCCTGCACTCACAGCTGGGCCCCAGCACGCGAGCCGTCACCTGCTGCCTCCCAGGGTGAACCGTGGCAGGAAGCTGGAATCCGGCACGAAGTCAGGACTTGAACCCGGAGCTCTGACCCTGGATGTGGGAGTCCCAGGTGGCATCTCCCTGCTGTGCCAGCTGCCCCTCCAGGAGCTCCTCCCCTCTCGACAAACAGACCAGGCCTTCGGGACCATGGCTTCAAGTCTGCAGCCAGAGCTCTGCATCCGTGCTTCCCAGCATGCCTTGTGCACCAGCCCAGGGGCCCCACCCCTCCCCCGACAAGTGAGTGAATAGGCAGGGTGTCCACCAGAGATTCTGGGCCAAGGCCCACGCACTGGGAAGCTCTTTCTTGGGGGAAGCGTGAATATCCGTGTGTTCAAGTGTGAGGAAGGATGAAGGCCATGCCCCTGGCGCGTGCACGCTCGCCCCAGCCCAGGGTCACGGCTGACCTCCATGGCGTGTGCACACTCGCCCCAGCCCAGGGTCACAGCTGACCTCCATGGCACATGCAGTCTCCTGAGCCCAGTGTCACGGCTGACCTCCATGGCGTGTGCATGCTCACCCCAGCCCAGGGTCACGGCTGACCTCCATGGCGCGTGCACGCTCGCCCCAGCCCAGGGCCATGGCTGACCTCCATGGCGTGTGCACAGTCTCCCGAGCCCAGGGTCATGGCTGACCTCCATGGCACGTGCACACTTGCCCCAGCCCAGGGCCACGGCTGACCTCCATGGCGTGTGCACGCTCGCCCCAGCTCAGGGTCATGGCTGACCTCCATGGCGAGTGCAGTCTCCCGAGCCCAGGGTCACGGCTGACCTCCATGGCGTGTGCACACTCACCCCTGCCCAGGGTCATGGCTGACCTCCATGGCGTGTGCACGCTCGCCCCAGCTCAGGGTCATGGCTGACCTCCATGGCGAGTGCAGTCTCCCGAGCCCAGGGTCACGGCTGACCTCCATGGCGTGTGCACAGTCTCCCGAGCCCAGGGTCACGGCTGACCTCCATGGCGTGTGCACGCTCGCCCCAGCCCAGGGTCATGGCTGACCTCCATGGCGCGTACACGCTCGCCCCAGCCCAGGGTCATGGCTGACCTCCATGGCGTGTGCACACTCACCCCTGCCCAGGGCCACGGCTGACCTCCATGGCGTGTGCACGCTCGCCCCAGTCCAGGGTCACGGCTGACCTCCATGGCGCGTGCATGCTCGCCCCAGCCCAGGGTCATGGCTGACCTGATGGCGCGTACACGCTCGCCCCAGCCCAGGGCCATGGCTGACCTCCATGGCGTGTGCACACTCACCCCTGCCCAGGGCCACGGCTGACCTCCATGGCGTGTGCACGCTCGCCCCAGTCCAGGGTCACGGCTGACCTCCATGGCGCGTGCATGCTCGCCCCAGCTCAGGGTCATGGCTGACCTGATGGCGCGTACACGCTCGCCCCAGCCCAGGGTCATGGCTGACCTCCATGGCGTGTGCACACTCACCCCTGCCCAGGGTCACAGCTGACCTCCATGGCGCGTGCATGCTCGCCCCAGCCTAGGGCCACAGCTGACCTCCATGGCGTGTGCACACTCACCACGCGAGGCCTCCCACAAGCGTTTTGTCTCTCGCCTCGTTAGGGCATCACCAGGTGGCCTCACAGCTGGGCCTCGTGGAGATGCTAGCAGCTTAGAATGTCCGCCCCCCGCCTCGGCCATGCCAGGGTGCCCGGCGACTTTTCTCCCAAACCGACACACTCTGGGCAGTGAGGGAAAGGCAGAGCGCCCGGGGAACAAAGCGCTCAGGGGTGGCTCCTGGGCCACGCGTGGCTCCTGCCCGCTGAGCACCCAGCTTCTGGCCACCAGACGAGAAAGACGCTCTTCTGTGGCACGAGAACCCCATCAGTAAGCAGGAACTCCATCTTCCTTCTTAAATTCATTTCCATTTTATTTGAAGGTGGAGAGCTGGACAGGTAGACAGAGCTCCCACCTCCTTGCACATCCTCCAGATGCCGGCAACAGCCAAGGCCAGTCCAGGTCAAGGCCGGCAGTGAGCCCTCCATCTGTGTGATCCAGGCCACAGCCAGCAGCGAGCCCTCCATCTGTGCATTCCAGGCCACAGCCGGCAGCGAGCCCTCCATCTGTGTGATCCAGGTCAAGGCCGGCAGTGAGCCCACCATCTGCGCGTTCCAGGCCACAGCCGGCAGCGAGTGCTCCATCTGTGTGATCCAGGCCACAGCCGGCAGTGAGCCCTCCATCTGTGTGATCCAGGCCACAGCCGGCAGTGAGCCCTCCATCTGTGTGATCCAGGCCACAGCCAGCAGCGAGCCCTCCATCTGTGCGTTCCAGGGCACAGCCGGCAGCGAGCCCTCCATCTGCAGTGCACCGACAGGAAGCTGATCGGAAGCCGAGGAGCAGGGACTTGGTCCAGGCTCCAGGAAGGGATAGCAGCTCTCCACTGCTCCAGACGCCACCCAGCCAGCAGCAGCTGTGCGTCCTCACTGGCCAGGGGCTTTGCCCTACGCAGGCAGCACACAAGTGGGACGCCAGGCTCCGCCCTCTGTAGCTCAGGGTCCGGCGGGAATCCACCCGTTCCCGGCTCGCTCCTCGCTCCTCACTCACTCATCCACTCACTCATTTATTAAAGTGTTTGGCAGACATTTAGGCTATTCCTAGTGATCTCTGGGAGCTACATGTGGGCCTGAAGGTCAGGGGGCGTGACTGAGCGTGGGTGGAGTGGTGGCCGTCACGGGCAGTGAGCCCCAGGGAGAGAGGGAGCAGCACAGGGGAAGGGCTGGCAGCAGGATCAGCCAGGGCAGAGAGCAGGGCAGGTGGCAGCTGAGACCACCATGGAGGTCCGAGGATGGGGGTGGGGCGGGCAGCTGTGGACCCCAACTGCGACTCATTCTTACAAGTGGGCTCCCGTGGGAACACTGCCACCATGGAGCCAAGAAGCCCAGCTGAGGACTTGACACGTGACCTGCATGGCAAGCAGGGGCCACCGACCTGGACCCAGGAGGGCAAGCGTCTCCCCCAGGGGTCAGAGCGCAGGGGATTCAGGCTTCACAGGCCTAGGGTCCTTCTCAGCCACAGACTCATCACTGTGGAGCCACCCAGCCCGAAGCAGCGTGGATGGACACATGTGACCATGTTCCCATGAAGTCACACTTGTGAGAACGAGTCGTGGTCACTGTGGCCTGTGGTCTGCAGCTGCCCGCCCCACCCCCGTCCTTGGACCTCACTGCAGGGAGCCCAGGGTGCCCGCAGGACCCACCCCGGCCCTGGGGCTCCTCATGGCCGCTGGTCCTCACTAGCACGTCGGCCTGCTGGTCTCCCCTCAGCGGCACCCTCACGCCCTCAGCTCTGCGGTCAGGCATGTGGCTTCCCCATCTCCGTCACTGTTTGACGTTTGTGCATGACACCCATCCGTCACCACCTAACACACTACGTGTTTCTATTCCAGGGGCAGAGAGGCAAACAGAGACGCAAAAGCCCCCATGTGCTGGCTGACCCCCAACGTCCTCAAGGAGTGAGTGCGCCAGTCCAATCCCATCCAGGTGTCCCCTGTGGGTGGCAGGGACCCAACCACTCCAGGCATCACTGCTGCCTCAGGGTCTGTATTATCCGGAAGCTGGGGTCTGGATCCGGAGCCAAAGGCCAGACCCAGGTGCTCCAGTGTGTGGTGCAGGGGTCTTATGTGCTGGGCGAGACCCCAGCCCCACCAGTACTGTATTAGCTGCTTCTATCTTGCTTACCCTCACCCACCAACACAAGTGCACACATGTACTCACAACCATGCACGTGCACACACATATGTACACACACCCCAACACATGTGCACACATGCACTCACACATGCCCACACACACCCAACACATGTGCACCCACACATGTCCCCAACACAAGCATGCATGCACCCACACATGCACACAACCAACACACGTGCACACACATCACATACACATACACACACCCCAACATGTGCATACATGCACCCACATGGATACACACATGCATGCACCCACACACACACCCCCAACACATGCACACATGTACACATGCACATGTGCACACACCCCAGCATATATGAACCCACACGCACCAACACGTGCATACATGCACACATGTACACACTCACATGCACACACATGTACGCACCCCAGCACATATGCACACACGTACTCACATACACACCAACATGTGCATGCATGTACCCACATGCATGCACACACATGTGTGCACCCACATGCATGCATACGTGCACCCACCACATGCATAGATGTGCACGTGCACACACACCCCTAACACATGCATACATGCACACACACTCACATGCATATATGTACCCACACGTGTACACACCCCAGCACACGTGCACACATGCACTCACGCACATACACACACCCACCACATGCATACATGCACCCCCCCACACACACACACAGCAGCACGGATGGCTTACCTAATCTCTTCCCCGTTCCGTGTCCCAGCTCCTGGAGCAGGGTGGAGCATCCAGTAGATGCCTGGAGATGATTGCCAAGGGCAAGGGATGCAGGCGGCTCAGGTCACTGCGCTGGCTCCGGTGGGTGGCTGTTCAGGCCACGTTGGGGGCATCCAGGTGTCTCCCGGGGGGCAGGTGCCTTGGACTGGGACAGGGCCTTGGAGGCAGAGCAGCAGAGGGCAATGAGAGGCAAGCTGCCCACCCCAATTAAACGCAGATTTCTGTGGGTTATTATGCAATAATATCGCATTTACATCCAAATGGAGCGGCCATGCGACTTGCCAGGCGAGGCCTAAATAATTACGTCTCCTTGCTGTAATTACACAGCGTTGCCAAATCACAGAAATCAGGGTGGAAAACAGCACTGCTGCTAACACGACCTCCACACAGGTCAGAGCACTTCAGACAGCCCCCCGGGGAGAGCCGGCCCCCTCGCGGCCCCTGGGATCCCTGCGGGAGGGACTCTGGCCTGGAAAACGCTCCCTGGCACCTGCGCAGTTCCTCCTGTGCAGCCAGCAGAGGACACCGGGCTCTGCCTGGGGCCCTCCCTCCAGCCCTGCCCCTTGGGGCCCAGCGGCCCCGCCTCAGGCCACACACGTCTCGCCAGTGTCTGCATCCCGGGGCTCTGAGCCGAGGCCTCCAAGCACACCCCTGGCTCCGCGTCGCTCACAACGCCCCGGCTTTGTCTGTGCGGAGGAGGGTCAGGCCTCACCCATCACCCCACAGCCGGGGCCGGGGCGGCACTGTCTGTGCCGTCCTGTCTGTGCGTTCTTGACCAGGAGCAGAAACATCGTCAAGGCCCGTGCACAGCTGGGCAGGAAGCGGAGCTGCAGGCTGTCCATGGCCGGGGGCATTTCAGGGAAAGGGCAGATGGCTTCGTGCCATCATCCCGCAGCACGCGGGGACTCGGGCCACCGCCACTGCTGGCCACCGCAGACAAGGCCACCACCAGCCTCCACGGGAAGCCCTGGCTTCGTTTCTCTACCGTCCCGAGTCGTAAGGAACTCTCCATTTTACCTCCCGAGAAACCGCCCCCTCGCTGCCACCAGCAGCAGGCAAGAGCTCCAGGCTCAGCCGTCCCGGCCAGCACTGCCCCGTCCCCCTCCACCAGGGACCAGCCCGTCTCGGGAGGCAGGGCCGCGGCTGCTCAGGGGCGCTGACCGCTTTGCGTCTTCCCAATGCCTGACGAGCCCCAGCGGCGTGTGCTCTGGGCCCTGGACGCGGCTCTCCCGCTGAAGCGCGGAGAAGCTGATTACTGGTGAGCCGTGAGCTTTGAGAGTGACGCGCGCCCACGGCTGCATCAGGTATGAGTCACGTGTCCACTCGGGCTCAGCTTAGGGCGGTGGCCCTGGACCATGGCAGGAGCCGGAAATCCCATTCCACCGGAGCTCATCCCCGAAGAAGCGGCCGGAGAGGAAACGCGGGAAGAAAGAGGAGCCCGGAAGCTTCCGCAGCCCAACCTGCTCCTCTGGGGGCCTGAGAACCCTGACCGGGCCCCGACGGGTTTCATGGTGGAGGGGGCGTCCGCGGGGCCGCCTCTGTTTGCAAGGAAATCTGTGAGGACCAGAAAGGAACCCAGCAACCCGCCGAGGACACTTCACAAGGGGTGGGGGTCTCCTACACCAGGGACCCCAGGCAGCCCTCAGGAGGGGCCCTCCCAGTGGCCAAGGAGCAGGGGACTTGGTGACACTGTGGTCCTGGCCCTGCGCAGCCCAGCGGCTCTGTGCTTTTCTGTCTCAGCTTTTAGCAAAAAGCTTAAAATGCCAAAAAAGGACAAAAGGATACAGAACCAGGGCAGAAGGAACGAAAACGTTTTGTGCAGCTGTTGCCTGCATTTCTGCTTCCAGCCAAGTGCTGTGACCCAGGAGCAAAGAAATTGTTTTAATTTGAAAGTTTATAAATTACAGTACGCTAAGGTCTACTTGATACTGAAGAAGGCAGAAGGCACATTTCTCCCGATTCAAGGCTGGGGTCATTTAGCTGGTGGGCGCGGCTCACCCGCCTCCCGCCGTGACCCGGCCAGGGCCACGGCCAGCTGCGGAGCCGCTCAGCTCCCTCAGGCCCAGTCTGCCCTGAATCTGATCCACTCGGAGTTGGCTTTCGTGCCCCTCGCGATGAGGGCTCCAGGCTCGCCGTTCTGCACATGGACGTCTCCGAGAACAGAGCACCCAGTCCCCCCTCCTGCCCCACGTCGTGTGGCAGCCTCGTGGCCACCATGCCCACAGACCTGTGACTGTGTCTCGGCCTTGGCTCCACCCCGGGACCCACAGCCCTGCCACACGGCTTTGCTGACTTTGGAGAGGTCTGGATTCTGGAAGGCGAGTGCTCAGCTTTGTCCTTTAAAGTGTCCCGGCTGCTCTGTGCCCCAGGCAACTCCATAAGAATTTCAGAACTTTACCGCGAAATTCTACAGAACAAAAGAACAAAGCTTTGATGGGGACTGAGATTGTGGAGGGCGCCCTCCCACGGCGCTGTCTTCTGCCCAGTTCCCCACCGATGCCTTGTAGCTCTCCGTGCACACGCCTCACCCTCCATGAACTCATTCCTAAGCGCTTCCTCCCTTCGGAGCTGCTGTGCACGGAGCCGCTTCCCCAATATCATTTGTGGATTGCTCATTGCTGCTAAACAGGAAAGCAAATGGTTTTTGCACGTGGATCTTGATTCTGCAACTTTGCTGAACTTGTTAGAGCCCATGTGTTCGTACTGTGATTAGAAAATGCCTTGAACGTCCTGGCTGCCCCACCGACAGGGCCGCAGAGGAAAGCAAGCGTCCACCACCCACTGCTCTTATAATTCAGACCGAGAGCCTAGACCCAGGGAGGGGAGGGGCGTGGGCAGGGGCAGCGGCAGAGCAGAGGCGCCCCGCGAGCCCACCTCAGCGGGCGGCGTCTGGGGCGGGGAAGTCCCACTTCCAGCACAAGTGCTCCGAGAGCACCGGGCACTGCGGACAGAGGACAAGCTCCAGAGCCCTGGCCCTGCTCAGGGGCGCTGACCGCTGGGCGGCTTCTCCAGACAGCGGGATGGCACTGCGGGCACAGGCTCAGCTGGCCGGACCATCGTCCGTCATCCTTGCTGTCACAGCCTGGGAGGTGCCGGCTACCCCGACACTGAACCCACCCGGGCCAGCGCCCAGCGAGAGATGTGCAAGGGCGGGTGAATGAGTGATGAGCAAGTGAACAAACGAAGGCCACCATGATGTCATCGTCCCCAGGCCTCGGCTGCCAGGGCCCCGCCTGCCCCAGGGCCCAGCCCCTGCTGTGGGGGAACGGTGGCAGCGTGGCCGGGAGCACGTTCTGCCGCCGCTCAGGGACCTGCAGGGTTAGGTCCCCCTGAGGGCAGCGGCCTCCTCTTCCTCCCTCACAGCCTCCCTCCCGCCTGGGGCAGCACCCATGCACCCATGCACAAGCCCGGCTGTCACTCGCGGCTCAGCCCCACCATTTGTGTCTATGCAAACTAGGGGGCCCCTGAACCCCGCAGTGGCCCTGTACCCTCTGTCTCCGACCCTGGCCAGGGTAATCATCCCTCAGCCCAGCTCCGCCCAGGCCCATTCCCCTGTGCCCACAGGAAAGCACCCCTGTGCTTGGCCACGGCCCCCTACATCCTGCCCTACCCAGCCTGCCTCTGCCCCCTCTACTGAAGAGTCTGCTCCCCAAATAAACCAGCAGCCCCCCGGGACCCCTTCCTCACTCCTCACCGTGTCTCCCCACAAGCCTAGGTCAACCCCAAAACAGCTCTGTCTCCACCTGAAAATCTGCCCTCCCCACCCCTGGGGCGGAGAGGACCCCCTCTCCGGGCCTGCCCAGGGCCTTGTGCCAGCTCAGGGCTCTGCAGATTTTGTCCTTTTCTGTAATTTCTGAGACTTTGCGTATGCTGCCCCCAAATCCCCATGATGAGGACTGGGTCTCAGCCGCCCCACCCCCACCCCCGGGATGAGGACTGGGTCTCAGCTGCCCCACCCCCACCCCCGGGTCAAGGACTGGGTCTCAGCTGCCCCGCACCCCCACCCCCGGGATGAGGATTTGGTCTCAGCTGCCCCACCCCCACCCCCGGGGCGAGGACTGGGTCTCAGCCGCCCCCCACCCCACTCCCATGCAGAGGACTGGGTCTCCACCATCTCTGTGACAAGAGCCAGACGGTGCCCCACAGGGGAAGGTGGGGGTTGGATCCGCAGCCCTGGGTTTGGATCCTGCTCCCATCCTCACTTCTCTGCAAGCTTGCGCTGTTTGTGTCTCTGTGCCGACTCCCTGTTGGCAGAAAGGGACGATGATGTCCAGTCCAGGGGGGCGCTGGCGGGGACGTCCCTGCGGGAGGCAGAACAGGTGTCCCAGGCGCTTCCAGGGCGCCTCCCCACCCCCCAGAGCTGCCAGCGAGGCAGGAAGCCCCTGGTCTCCTTTCCTAAGGGAACTGCCTGTGCTTACCCAGGCTCCACAGACACCAGGGCAACGCGCTGTGCCCTGAGGATGTCCCTGCCCCGGGGGACCCGGGGTCTCTGACGTGGCCTGGGGCTCCGTGGACAGCTGGTGGCAGCTGGTCAAGTGTCCCCGGGACGACAGGCTCGTGTTAAGTACAGGACTCCATGGCATTTGCACCGTGAGAAGAAAACAGCAACGCAGCCACGAGGAGAGGCCTGTGGCCCCCACCCCCGGAGCCCAGCCGTCTGCGCACCCTGTGCAACTCACCCCGCTCTGGGTGCCACCACCGTGGGATAGAGGTGGGCCTGTGTGCTCCCAGGGTGAGGGCTCAGGGCACTGGGGCGCAACCTCACACAGTAGGGCACGTGTCCCACCTCCCCCCTTCATGGGTGGCTGGGCTCAGTGTGCCGTGACGGGAGTGCACATCCCCGTGGACCCGACTTGTTCCCTGGGGCCCTCTGCCCAGCTCCGTCTATCGGTCCCAGGAGGCTGCCCCGACCTTAAATGTCCAAGCAGCCTGGGCTCGGAGTGGACCCTCGTGCAGGCCGGCCCTGGGCCGCTTCCTATGCTGCCCTTGCTCACCGGGCTCAGGGGGTGAGGGAGGCTCAGCGTCTGGGAATCGGACCTCAGGCCCACGACGGGCGTCACGCGCCGGCACTGACCCGGCTCCTCCGCCCCAGCTCGGAGGCTGCCTGGCCCCCTCCACCCTTCTCCTGCCCCCGGGACCTCAGCCCTGGCCTCAGCAGCTCGGTCTTGGAGCTGGAGTGCTGACTTTCCCGGACATTAAGGGTGGCTTTTGTTTGCTGCAGGGCCGCCCGCCCCGCGAGCGAGGGTTTGTTCCAGACGTGGGCTGGAGCTCGTCTGGGCTGGGGCTTGTCTGGCGATGTCACACAGAGCCCTACGCTCTGGCCCCGGCAAGAAGGCCGTGACAGGTCCACCCCGGGAGGCTGCTTGCCCTCGGATGCAGCGTGGAGACGTCGCCCCTAACACCACGCACGGGCACGGAAACCGGGGACACAGGGACGGAGGAGCAGCGTGGGGCCTCCAGATGGGTGGGGCTTCCTCACACAGGTGTGGCACAGGTGGGGTGGGTCGGAGCTCCAAACAGGGACACGCACACGCGTGCTCCCGGCCAGAGGCAGACGCTGGCCGGGACGCCGGGTCCCTCAGGCAGAGGCCAAGTCTGAATCCTCCGCGCCATCCCTGGACACCCAGCGCAGGAGGTGGTCAGCGTGAGGCCTCCTGTGGCTCCTCCGCCTCTCCGTGAGCCCTGGAGGCAGAGCAGGAGAGGCCGGGAATGTCCCCTCCAGGAATGTCACCTGCACGGCGCCCACCAGAAACGGAGCAAAACCACCCGAGAGGACACAGGAGCCCACAAGAGGAACGCGAGGCTGCCTCGGGAGTGTGGGTCTCCTGCACCGTCCGCCGTCCCCACCGTGTGGGCCAGGAGCTGTGCCTGGCCGCTCTGCCCGCTGAACCGGACGAAGCCGCGGGGGCGAGCGCCAACAGCCCGCGGCGCGAAGTTTTGCAAAGGCTTTCTTGTCCTCAAGTCCTTGGCAGATGGAAAAGTTTAAGAGTCGGAGCCAAGCTTTCTCTGTCCAAGAGACGCAGCTCGGGGAACAAAGCGGGGAGGCCCCGGGGGCCAGGGCAAGACTGAATCTGCCGAGGCAGGGAACTCATTTTCTAAATTTGTCTTAACGAGAGGAAATAAAGAAAAGAAACTGGAGCAATTAGGAGGTAAGGAAATCTTTACCCAAATTGCTGTTGTCAAAAGCCAGAGAAAAGCACCTAGGAAACACGCGCGTTCGCAGATCAGCTGACCCTGAGGACCTGGGGAAGCTCCACGGTTCAGAACAAGTCCCGTGAGCTGAGCCACCAAACATTAGCCACGGAGGCTCAGAGAGGGCTCACGGCCAGGAGGGTGAGCCCACCGCGGTGCTACAGGAGCCGTAGCCCGCAGCGCGCCAGAGGGCCCCAGCACCCCAGAATTCCACCAAGGAGACGGAACTGACGCGCACCTGTATCACCACACGCACCCAAGGAGATTCTACTGTTTTTCCCGCTCCCTGCACTTTGGGAGCTCTTAAGGAGGGCCGGCGAGATGTTGCTTGGAACCCCGCGGGCCGTTGCTGCAAGCTGGCATCGCTGACCCGAGCTCCAGGGAGGCGAGAAGACCCTCCACCAACAGAACCAAAATGACAAACGGGGTCACAAGGGCGCTGCTTCTCAGAACATTCTAGAACAGTGAGCTCAGCGTCAGGCCCCCCTCCCACAGTCACAGATCATGGCACACAAGTGCAAGGAGCTCTGGCCAGCCGCCAGGCACAGCCTAGCACTCGGGAAAGCAGCTCGGAGCCCGGCGGACTCCAGAGCCCGGGCTGATGTCAGCACAGGGCTCAGCTGACCGCCGCCACCAGCTCTCTGTGTGGGCACGGTCTGCGTGGCCTTTCACAGGCATCCCAGAAGCAGGCGGCCACACGCTCTGCAGCACAGCCGTCCCTGGGCACCCGGGACCCTCCCAGGTTGACTTCCCCCAGCCCCTCACTGTCCCCTTGGGAGTCGGGGCAGAGGAGATTCGAGATGGGGGTGGGAGACAAGAGACAAAGCTGAGTGCCACGGACGGCACATGACTGTGACGTAGGGTGGAGCGAGGTCACGTGACTATAACACAGGGCGGGGTGAGGTCACGTGACTGGTGACACGGGGTAGGGTGAGGTCACATGACTGTAACATGGGGTGGAGCGAGGTCACGTGCCTGGTAACACGCGGTGCTGTGAGGTCATGTGACTGACTGGAAACACGTGGTGGTGAGGGCACAGGTGCCAGTCAGGGCACTGGGGCAGCTCCAGGTGTGTCTGTCACCAGGAGGACGGAAGCCCTTTGGCTCTGGGCTGACCTGGTCACCCGAGCTCTCTCCTCCCAGGCACCTGAGCCGCAGAGATAAGATCTCCGGCTCTCCTGCTGTGTCCACACTGCAAGGCAGCCATGTGCTTCCGGGGCTCAGCCTCATCCTGGCGTCACACGGTTGATGTACGGGTTGTGGCCGTTCCCCAGGCCTCAGCCGGGGCCTGCGAACCAGCACTGGCTCCCTCCGGTGCTGGACTGCGGGGCGCACGTGGACGGACCTTGTGCCCTGATCCAGCCCTGCTCGGAGAATAAGCGGGACTCATTTCTCCTCTGGTCCTGTTGTGACTTCCGTCGAGGGTTTGAGAGGTGACGTCACAGCCAGTGAAGCCTTGCCTCAGCCGACCTGCCGCGGTCCCGAGGAGGCCCCTTGCCCCTCAGCAGTGGGCAGACCCTGGGGGACGGCGAGCGGTGGCTTCTCTTAGGGAGGGACCGGCAGGGAGCGGCCGTGACAATGTGCAGTCTGCTCTCCTGCCTCCTGACCTGGTACTTCCGCAGGGACAAGCAAGCGTAGGTTCCTCCTGCGCATAACTCCAGGGCAACCACAGCGTCAAGACAGAAGTACAGCTCAAGCACAAATGGGCTGGCGATATGTAAATTAACAACATTAGCATATGTGATGGACATGGTTCTTTGCCAAAACTAAATTCCAGCTCTCAGTGAGAACGTGATACTGCCGGCTGTGGCATGAACGGCTCTGAGTTAAGCCTGCTGGTTCCGGGCTGGCTCCGGGCTGGCTCAGTCTTCCCGTGACCGGTTTCTTGTTGCTGCTGCGAACTCCGGCAGAGCCACCACAGGCAACACGGTGACGTCTCCGATGGGCAATTCTCTGATGCGCACCCTCCTCCCCTGCTCTTGGCTCCCTTGCCCTGATCACGAGACGGGCTCGGTGGCTTTGCTGAGGTCACACACCGCACCAACAGTCACAAGACAGGGACAGCAAGGACAAGGCCCCTGTCACTCCTCTCCCTGTAACTCACGTGCAGGTGGGGGCTGCCAGGGCCAGGTCTGCCCCACTCGGGATCCAGGGCTCTCCCAGGTCTGACGTGGCGGCGCCATGTCTGCTTCAAGGAGGAAACCTTGTGGTCCCGTCTGTCTGGCGCGGCTGCGCCCTGAGCTCCCGGAGGGAGGGTGGCAGAGCTGTCTCCAGGCTGTGATGCCTGTCATTGCTGAGTTAATTATTCACAGCACGAGGCGGGGATTTGTCTGTGGCCTGGGGCACACAGTGGCGAGGACAGTGGGTGTGGGGGGAAGACACCGAGGATCGTGGAGAGCCGCAGGCCGCCGTGGCCTCCTGCCTGCCCAGCTGGGCCTTAGCTGCCAGGAGCCTGCCCTGCACCGTCCCCAGCCCCACTGCCTGCATCTCAAAGACCCAAGTTCCTCCCGAGCCCCAGGGGTGCTGCAGCCCCAGGTTGGGCCCTTGCTGGGGGCAGAGATGGGCACGGGGTGGACCCCACGGCCTCTCATTCCAGCAGAGGAGCAAAGAGACGACCCTGCCTGGGCCGAGCTCACTGTCCTG